TAGGCGTAAGTTTCCTATACCACAAGAGGCTGGGAAAGAGAAAGACTGGGGAAGCAATATGCCCTTGAGCAACTCAAAGTTTCCACTAAGTCAGTGGTTCTCAAACTTTTTGGGCTCCGGAACCCTTTACACACGAAAAAAAAAAGTATGTGGTGCCCCAGAGGTCCACTGATAGTATGTGTTGTACCTATCGATGTTTCCAGTTTGTCAACCTCGCAGAGCCCCTGGAGAGGTCTTGCAGAGCCCTGGAGCTCCGCAGAGCACAGTTTGAGAAACACTGCACTAAGTTATGTTTTTCAGAAAGGTTATCAAGAAAATTTAACTTTCTTTCCTCCATAGATCCATGGAAAAGGATTTCCAGATATTTTTATTTAGAAGGGAAGACTGAAAAAAAAAGCTTTATTTGTCCCTAAAAATGATTTTAAATCACTAGTCAGGCTTGGATTTGTATTATGTTCTTTTTTGGTCCAGGCAGTGGATTACAAATAGCACATTAATTCATTCTGAACATAGATAGCTTTGATAAATTCATTGTTTTGTCCATGAGTTGGGATATGGTGAGGTTTCTCACGCGTTTCCTTCTTATGTTTCTGATCGGCTTTATCACTTGGTTTGATTTGACAGATGGTCACAGGAAGAGAGTTCAGCGAGATGATCTTACTTCAGTTCCCAGCACATGAGATTACACTTCATGAGTAACTAGCTCTAAACAGCTTAGTGGCAGCAGCATAAACTTGTTTGCCATAGGACATGCAAACTACCGAGCATGGTTCAGTATGAGCCAGAGTGCCAACAAAATGAGATGATGCAGAAGAATTTGATCAAACATTTTAAGTTAAAAATACTTCTGTAATTAAGGTAACAAATGCATTCCATGTATTAGTAAAGGAGTACACAACACACCCTAGACTTCAGAATAGAAATTATCCTCTGACACCCCTAACCAACATTCTGTTTAAGAAAACTTTGAATATCTTAGTGCATTAACAATTTCCACAATTGTAACTCAGTCCCGTTGGGTTTAAGTAGTATTATGTTGCTGTACAGGGGGTTAAATACTTGCAATATAGCCAACTGACAGTTGCTCCGAGAACCACAATTCTGAATTTCCTTCCCCTCATTATCTCCTTCCTCTCTCTAGCCCAGTTTCTGTGGGTTGAGTCCTCAGCTATAGTGTCACTTTAGGTGTTGGTTTTACATTTGATTTTAATGAAAAACAGTAAAGGAAAAGAGTGAGTTAGTGTACGGAAATATTTATTATATCATATGAAGATCAAGAGATCGCAATTAAGTACTCAGGGCATAAAATGTAGTTAGGAAATTAAGGGTGGAATGGACTGCCTGTGCAGTTTTGGGTGGTTTTTTTTTAAATCAGGAACTAGGAAAGATATTTGTTCTTAGTAATGGTAAAATTTTTGAAAGTTTTCATTTGAATTCATTGAAATGTAGTAATCATGGAGTTCTATGACAACTTTTTAGTCACTTATCAGAGCAGTACAGCACTTCAATAGTTTTCTGCCATCTTTTGTACTAGGAAACAGTTCTACCAGAGTCAATTTTTACTTTATAAAATATTTAGTGACATTTCAGCCATCATTGGCCTTTAAAAATTATAACACAATGTGTACCAGCGTAACCAACCTGTATACCTGTCACCACACTAGCTACAGGCAGAACAGCAACTGTCAGACTCAACTGCTATTGATCTTGTTTCACAAAACAAAGTAACATTTTCATTATAGTCACATTTTCAAGCTACTCTTCACCACACTTGCACAGTAGTGGACAACTAATCAAAGTACAATGTTGGTTGTTACTTGAAGGAAATTGGTCTAATATTAGCATAGGCCTGAGTAAAGGCTGAGGGTTTGAGTTGTGTACCTTTTTCTATTTTCAAAGTTTTCAAGCTATCCTTCCTCTGCACAAAAAAAAAGGGGGGGGGGGAGACACACCCAAACAAACAACCCCACAAACCAAGCACCACCCTTATAGTCTCCTAACTAGAGTCAGAACTCTTAGATGATGGTACTTAACTAAATTACCTTACTGAATTATAAAAGCAAACCATGGCTCAGAAGTACTAACATCTGGAGTAAACTAAAAAGTTATAATAGAACAGGGAAGTCCATTAATAAACTAAAGGTTTGGGATTTAGCAAGTAATTCTCTACAATGTCTTGCAAATGTTTGGAAAATGGAGCTTGAAAGAGTACTGGGATTGAGGGAAGGTCCTCTACAGCAGTTGCACATATATCCTTCCAAAAAATTAGGAAGGCATATATAATATTACACCTTCCATGGTACCATTCTCTTGGAAATATTTCAACTAGCCAGGACCTAGTCTAAAATAAGTATTTGTTTTTTTAATTTTAAGCATTTTTTTTACCTGCAATCTGACATTTCCTATAACAAAGCTGTGGTGGAATCATCTGGGATTTGGTACTGGAAAACATGCTTAATGTAAGACACTAGTCCACAGAAGAATGTTGTTCTTTTTCTCTTATGTGATAATAAATGTAAAGATCTAGGATAAGGTGTCTATTGCTGCTTCTAGGTGTAAATAATTAGTAAAATTCCTCAAACATTGTTTCCTTTTGACAAAGACAATCTAGTTAGTCTCCCATGAAGTTTGCACTGAAATAAGTAGTAACTTACTACTGAAATGCATCAGACTTTTACTTAGTCCTTTCAAAGTATATATACACATACAGAAGCACACTTTGGATCTAAAGTCTTGTGTCCTTATGGTGATAACCAGAGCTAGGGCTTATCCTTTTTCCACCTGACTAGGACCATTATGCAATTATAAATCTTTGCTTACATGTAGTTCAAGTAGTTTAATTTCCTTCCTATGCAAGATCCCACATTCTTTGTCTTAATCATCCTAGATTAACACTGAATTCAAATTGGTAGGCAGTTACCTAATTGATTTTAGAGCTTCTATGACAAATTGAGAGGATTCTGAAGCTAGACACCACCTATATGGAACTTGTTTCACTATGATAGCATTTGTTACATTTGCTCTTTTCATTCTTTACGGGGGATGTGAGAACATATCTTTTCAAGTCATTTAATTCAGCTGTTCTTTGTGCAAGATATGTGCCACAATCTCCACACTTCATTTATAAGTTTTCTGGCATTCCTCTTCGAAAAAATATGTACTGTACATTGCAAAATAGCATAAATTACTATAGCGCCTATTAGTCAATACTTATTACCATTTAAGTGTTTCTGGAGCTCCCAATACTGAAATTTGTAGCTAACAAGAAAATTTTTAAATGACAATATAGTCAACACAATATTCACTACTCACCACATACAACTATTAAATTAACATTACTACAATATATTTGCAAAGCAGTTCAATTCACATTTCCACTAGTTTATAACAGGTGTTCCAGTTTATCACATTAACTTACTGCTAATTTGCATATACAATTATAAAAAGCCCAAGTGCAAGTGAATGCTCTTGGCTCAATAGCTACAGTTGGTGCAAAGCTTCCTGAACAGTTTATAATAATTTTTCTTCTTAAGTGATCTCAAAAAAAAATACAGCAACTAGACTAAAAGACTATCATAAACTAAGAAGAAAACAAATGTGTTGATACTATTAACAAGTATGATTCAATATCTGTACCTATGCTAACATGCTTAATTCATTTTTGCATTATTAAAAAACCTGATACTTCTCTGCAGTTTCAATCATAATACTATCAGTTCCCCAGATTGACAAACAGTATTCACCTATGGGGAAAAAATTAAGTTTGTACTGTCTGCGAAAGAATCAACAACTCTATTAGCTTTGGCATCTAAAGTTGAGTGGAACCACAAAAAAGAAATAACCCCATGTTTAACTCAAACCCATTAACCCGAGTTTATACTGCAGTTTAAATTCCAACAACATAACGTATTTATTACAATTAATTAAAAAATATCTTTGTTCCATGGGAAGGGAAAAGAGCTCAAAGTGGAGACTTCCTGAGGGCTAATAAGTTACGTTTGGACAGAAATCTATAGTTTGGATTTGATATCAACACAGTTGCTGCGTCAGCATTTAAGGTGACTATTACTATCCCATTCAGAGTCGTGGACTATGCTGAGTATGGAGAAAACATTTTGTGTATTTCCCCTTCTCAGACACGTTCACGCTCCGAAAACACCCCTCACCCCCCCGCACACACATTCTTTGCAACTGTGTCTCCTTTGAAGCGTATGAAAAAGCAGCCAACTGAAGCGCTGTGTACAAGACTCACATGCTTGCATTATGCTGTAACTTAACTCCCACAGAGAAGCAACATCACTGCCAGGGCTCTACAGAGCTAGAAAAAACATGCTTCTTACCCCCTGCCCCTTTATCCCGTCTCTGACGCGAGGGTAGAGGAGGATGGAAAGTGGTTTTCGAAGGTTGAGTTCACAGGCCTTGGTAGCAAGACCATTTAAAATAAAAATCATGTGACACCGCGGCAAACCTTGTTTTAAGCCACCCACTTTTAAGGATGAGTTGGAGGCCTCGCAAGGACAGTCACAAGCCCCCAAAATGCTCCCCTCTGCCACAGGAAACCTCTCTGTCAATAAGGCCAGGAGAAGGGGCCACACTCGCCCAGGAGCCCCCCTGCAAAGTCATACACCCCGTCCAGGGGGAAAGAAAGTCCTCGCAGCCCCTGCCGGCTGATTTAAAGAATCCAGAGAGGCCAGAAAACGTACTTACTTATACAGGTAACATTGTTTCACTGCCTCCCCAGACACAGAACCACTAGCAGTCCAGTCCCCCCAACTGCTGTGCATTTCAACCAAGCCCTACCGGGATCCAAGGCGGGCTGTACACAAGAGCAGCCCAGCCTCGCCAAGCCAATGAGTCCCTGCTTCTCCGGCGACTGAAGCAGCGTCCACTCAATCAGCAGCCAGCGAAGGTGGAGCCTGGGCCGGTTTAGCAGCACAGCGGCTGTGTTCGCTGGAAAGAGAAAGCGCAGCGCTACTTCCTGCTCGGAACCACGTGACTCCCTCCCCCCCAGGTGCTCCAGCTGTGCAGTATTTAATGTCAATAGCCGAGGCGCTGGGTTGGTATTGGGCAGGCGAGTTCCCTGGCGCTGCAGACCTGCCACTAGTTCTCTTGGCTTTAATTAAAGGCTCTGGCTTTTATTTCTTCCTGGCAACTCGGACCAGTGCATTTAAAAACAATGTATAGCTGATGCTCTTGCACTGGCACAAGAAACAGCAGCTGTTTTCCATCTCGGTGTGTCCGCGGTAGGGATTGGGGCAATCCTCCCTCGGGTGCCGAAGAAGATATATGTGCAAAGCGATGTCTCCCGCTTCCCAACCTCCTCTCCCGCTCGCATGGACCGTAAGAGGATTTGGAGGCGTGCGAGCGGTCTGAAGGGTCTCGGGCCAGGTATTTGCACGCAGGATCCGAGCTTTGCTATTACCATGCGTGCTGGGGGCGACATCTGGCGCTGGCAGCTCTCTGGATCCGATAGAGGGTAATCCGAACTGAGCAGCGAGAGGCAGAGCCGCGGGGACGCAAGTTCACCCAGCGAGCATCCTGCCTGCTGGAGTCCGCTGGCTGGGGCACTAGTCTGCAGGCTAAGCCATGGTGAAGGAGGAATGCAAAGCGCTGCTCGATGCGCTCAGCCGGGTGACTGCTTGCTACCGGCACATGGTGCTGACCATCGGGGGCACCTCGGACTCGCAGAACCTGCGGGAGGAGCTGAAGAAGACTCGGCAGAAAGCGCAGGAGCTGGCTGTGGCGAATAGGAACAAGCTCACCGCGGTGCTGAAGGACAAGACGGTGAGTAAGGAGGACAAGGCTGAATTCGAGAGGCTCTGGGTGATCTTCTCCACCTGCATGGAGATCCTGGAGATTGACATGAGGAGAGCCCTGGAGCTGGGCCAGGAGTTCCCTCTCAACGTACCCAAAAAGCACCTGATCCAGACGGGCATGAGCGGGGGGACCTCCGGGGTGGCCGCCAGGGCTATGAGCGTCCAGAACATGAAATACGAGGCTGAGCACAACATAGATGTAGTGGATTTGAAAGACCTGGAGAACGAAATCAACCAAGTAGGGGAGATGATGTACGAGATGGAGATGAAGGTGAATGTCCCCCAGTGGACAGTAGAGGCTAAGCAGGACCCTGGGGCTGAACTCAAATCCACCATTAGCGTGGGCGCCTCTTCCATTGGCATGGTCTCCGCGGAGGAAAACAAATCCTTCTGCGATATCAGCAAAGTTCTGGCTGGGATCATTTTCTCCGCGGTGCTCATTATCGCTATTGTCTTGGCGGTGTGTGTGGTAAAACTCTCATAGGCTGGCTGAGTGTTCCTGCAAGACACAGCGACTCCTCTCTCTCAAATATTTCATGCGGTATGGTGCGTTTCAAAAACGGTCACTTGGAAGAGCTGACACTTAACACCTTGCATATGAAAACCAATCTTTGGGGGACATACTATCTGATCATGCATCGAGCATCCGCATGTTTTGGTTGGTTTGTCTGAAAGCTCGGCGGGAAGGGGGGTACAGATCAGCCTACAGTATAGGATGACTTTTTTTTCTGGTCTTGTAACGGTTAACTGTGTGCAAAGTATCAGGGTATTATCACTACAGGCTATAGCAGGGATTTGTCTGCTATTAATAGATGACTATTCTCAGTAGCCTGAAATTATTGTTCTTTAATAGGCTCTGATATTCATTGCTGTCCATGTTTACAAAGTAGTTGAGAATTGCACAGGATTTGGGGGATAAGATGGATGTTTGTGACAAAATTAAGGGACATGTATGTGAGTTTCCCCCTCAAACACACAATATTCTGCCCAGAAGGAAAAAAAACAGAAAAATCTCAGTAAGGATATGTAAACAATGTCTATCTTATCTTAATCCTTGGGGTCAAAACCTAGGAAAGTGTGCGATCAATGTTTGATACCAAATACTATTTGCAGATTTGCACTGTTTGTACAGACCCTAATTGCACTTTTTGGCACGGCACACACTGATAATCACTAACGGCAATCCAAATCTGCAAAAATGACAATGATCTTCTTTAGAACAGCATTCAAAGAGATGTATTAACAGGCTCCATCCTTCACTTTTATGTATCTTTTTTATTTTCTCCAACAAAAAAAATGATTTGTGCTTCTTGTCCACATTCTTCTTTCCATGCAAGTGGTTGAACTTCACATCAGCTGTAGAATATATATTCTATATTTATCCAGAGTTAAAGGCAGCAATTTTAAAAACAGGTTGTGACAAACTAACAAAGTAATGTAAAGTGAAAACTGATGCTCTGGCTTGCCTGTCTCAGTTTTTTCCAGCACAAATAGAGGTTTAATCTCACGTTGATGGGTAGGGAGTCACACACGTGCAACTCCCATTACTGTTAATGAGATCTAGGCATATACCTGCAGGATCCAGAGGACACCAGATCTGCAGGGCTCAATCCTGTCATCTTTATTTGCTATATTAGTCCAACTAAAATACAGAATTGGACTTATGTTGGTGTCATTTATTGGGATGCCTGTGCAGTGGTGGGGTGTAAAAGTGTAAGAACAGAGCATAAAGCCAAGTTGGACTTTTTTCTTTTTTGTTTAACTATTTACACATGGACAGTTTAAACTCTTTTCCCTTCCCAATAAAACTGAGAGCTGAAATACCAATGACTTTGAAGAGAATTTCCATGATCTCTCACATAAAAATGCATGTATCCATTTTATATATGCAAATTATGTAAATCTTTTCTGTTTAAAATAGACCTGTTCCTATGTGCGGAGATTTTTAAGTAGCTATAAAGTGCCATGGGTATAGATAGTAGTATTCAGGCAAATATAAAAACAAGATACTTTTTAAATCCTATAAAGCAGTAAGCGATAACTTAACAATTCCTCTGATCTGGGCATAACATTCCTAAAATTTACCACAAAATATGTTGATTTAAAAGTCACTGGGCATATGCAGTAGTGTATATATGTGTTTAAACACAATCACATCAGCTTTCTTAATAAAATAATGGTGTGGTTCAAAGAAGGCAAACCTATTTAAAGTATTATTATTAATCATGTTCATTATAGTTTTGCCAAAGGGCCAATCAAGTATGAGTACCCATTCTATCCGGGCACAGTATAAACCCAGAGCAGAAGAGAGTTCCTTGCTCTGAAGAGCTTACATTCTAAACTGACAAGATAGAGGTTGGAGGAAGATGCTATGACATACAAGCAGAAAGTTTCATGGGGGTATTTAGAGGGGATAAGCTAAACAGGAAGAGGGTGAGGGGACAAAGCAGGGAAGAAGAAGGAAATGAGACAGATGTGAAGTGGAGGTGAGGAAGCTGGGGGGGGGGAGCAGGAAAGTTGGAGCAAATGGCTAATCAACACAGAACAGAGAAAGCACAGTCAAAACTGTAGAAAGTTCTTCAAAGGTACATTTAGACAGCGATGCTATTTTGAGATATTCTGGTATCCCGAAATTGCGTTTTCCACATCTTGACAGCACACCCATTATTTCAAAATAACGAGTGTGCTATTCCAATGTCCCTATAATCCTCATAGAACGAAGTTTAAGGGACGTTTCAGAATAGCGCTCTATTTTGCCACATTTTGAAATAAGCTATTGCACCCCAAAGGACCAAAAATCCCTGTGTTGGTTACTTCATTCTGCCTTTACTGGCCACAGTTCCTCATTGGGTCTTTCTCACTTTTCTCATAAGCAGCTGCTTTTGTGGAAAAACTTGCCAGTCTAGATGCAGCCTTTTAGTGGACCAAATATTTTGGGATGAGAGAGAAGTTATCAAGCTTACACAGAGCTCTTCAGGTCTGGAAAATATCCTCAGAAAGTGTCATAACTAAGGCTATGTCTACACTACAAGGTTTTTGCACAAAAATGGCCATTTTTGCGCAAAAACATGCAGAGCATCCACACCTCAAATGCATTTTTGTGCAAGAAAATCTTCAGTCAATTGACGGAACAGAGGGCTTTTTGCGGTGTAGGTATACCTCCATCTATGAGCCATAGCTCCTTTTTGTACTACAGTTCTTGTGCAAAAAGGCACGTGTGGACGCACCGCAGGGGTTTCTTGCTCAAAAAGGACCTGTCCGAAAAAGCACAGGTGAATGACCATCAGAGCTTTCTTGCACAAGAGTGTCCATGCAGTATGGATGCTCTCTTGCACAAAAGTGCATCGCAAAAGCAATGCGCTTTGAGGTGTGGATGTGCTTTTGTGCGAGAACTCTTCCACAAAAGACTTCTTGTACAAAAACCCTGCAGTATAGACGTAGCCTAAATATAAGATAGAACAGAATGTATAATCCATGTTACTGAAGTCTAAATATAGGGTTTTATATTCAGCCTGAAGTAATCTGGGCTAGTGTTTCCATTTAGTGTTAACTGACCACTTCAACTTGAATGGTCCCTTGAAATATGGATGTGGAATTCCCATAGAATTGCTAACGTGAATTCTGCACATTGGTTCAGCTCAGTCTGTCTTTGTGTGTTGTGGGGATTCACAGCAAGGAGGCTATTTGTTTTTAACCAGTAGACTCCATTCATTTTACTGAGATAATTTTGTATGTGGTTACTAATCCTGATTGCTTAATGGTCACAAACAGATTATTTTGTGGAGGGATAATTTGTATTTTTTTTTTTTGGTGCTATTGTTCCAGTCTGTCTACAAAAAGACCTGCTGAAACTGCTGTAATGTTAATTTACACTTCCACATCACTTACTTTGCAAGAAACTGAATAAATGCTAGGACAGGATTGGCACAGTCTAATTGGCTAATACCCTGCCATTAATCTCCTAAAGTACCCAGTACAACTGTATGTACAACGTGACATAGATGAGGGAAACTTACATGCATAAAATCCAAATGGTAATAAATATAATCGCTTTGTGCAAATCTGTGTCAAGAAGGAGATCCCAGTTTCATCAAATAATCTGAAATTTTTCATTTGACTTAAATGGAAGCAAGAATAGTCAACCACCCAATGACATGTTTTGCAGTGGGGTTCTTACTGTTAGAAAGTTTTTGTATCATGTTAGAATATCTAATTATAAATAGAAACTTTTCAAATAAGAATATGGGGAGAATGTTATAACATGTCAGTGAGACTGACCTAAAAGATGTTAACTAGCAATTACAATTAATGTATCCATATCATACCTTATAAAAAAAGATGGATTAAATAATGAAATTTGGTTTCTTATGAAACAAATTAATCCTTTTGTTTTTAAATTAAAAGTCTGAAAATTCTGATCAATTTACATATTTTTTCTCTGGGAATGAACTTGGTAATTACAGTTAGAAGGGATGGTGAAGAATATTTTTGTAATTAATTAAAGATAATTAAAATAAAACTTTATAATATTTTACATATACAATGTGTGACAAAAATAAAAACATATTTTGTCTATAATACTAACCAGGGACCACAAATGTTACTTGTGCATTCAGTAAGAAATTAAGCAATGTGCATTCTTTTGAAACTATCAGGTTTTACTTCAAAATACCCTGTTAGCCATACTGCATATCCATTTTAGTATGAGTCTGTGAAATATTAAAATCCTATAGTTGAATGAACTTGCTTCATTTCACCCTGTGCATGGCAGAATGACATTTTCTATACTTGCAGTAAAACTTGTTACTGTCACTATTATTTCTTCCATTTAAAATAAAGTCTATTCTGTTAACTACTGGTTGACTTGCAGCAGTAATTACATTAAAACAAAACTAAAAGCCCTAAAAGAAGTCTGAGATTTAATATGTCTATTGACAATTAGCTCATTAACCAGATGATTCTAAAGTCTCAGAGGGGTAGCCATGTGAGTCAATAACTAAAAAAACCTGAAAGAACAACAAATGGTCCTGAAGCGCTTTAGAGACTAACAAAAAATATAGCTAGCATCATGAGCTTTTATGGGCATAACCCACTTCTTCAATCTGAAGAAGTGGGTTTTACCCAAGAAAGCTCATGATGCTATCTATATCTTTTGTTTGGTCCTGCAGCGCTTTAGAGACTTTTGTAGTTTTTTAAGTTTTCCAAATGATTCTATTTCATTCTAAATCATCTGACTTTGATACACCAAACTTTCAGGTACAAATATAATAATTCTACATTCCTATTTGAGAAAAAAGTACATTCTGACTACAGATATGAATCTTAAATTCTAATTTTAGCATACCATCTGTGACAGAAATCCCATTGTTTCATACATATAAAACTAGAGTGGACAAAGTACTAACATATAATGTACTACAGAAGTCAATGCTACATTGGAATGGTTAAGGATTAGGGCTCAGATCCACAAAGGTATTTAGGCTCCAAAATTAGGATCCTAAATACATTTGTGAATCTGAGTCCTACTTTCTAAATGCATCAGTGCCGCATTGTCTCCTGAAGTACATTCTATACTAGTACTTTATCCTCTCTAGTTTCATTGATTTCAGTGGAAGTTAAAAGCCTAAAGACCAGTGGAATCTGTACATAGGTGATATAATGTTTTCTATTTCTAATGTCTGAGACCCAAATTCTGTGGTCTTGAATCAAGCAAAGGTCCCATTGACTGCAATATAAAGTTTGGTCAATTGAAGGACCAACAAATATAGCACCATAGCTCTCAAAAGAATAGTAGTGTCTACCCTGTTTCTGTGAAATGCTGCAATTGTTAAACTTGACAGGGTTAATTCTGGGATCACTCCCCACACATAAAGTTAAGCACATATGAATGTCTGCAAGGTCCAGGCCTTAGTTCATAAACTGTCTGAACACTGGACTGCAATTAAATTGGTTGTGCTCATGTAATAAACTGAGTGCACAATATGAACCTTATGGCATCATAAACATGAGATAAGATAGAAGTTTCAGCATTCAGTACACAGAAAAATGTAAAAATATGTTATAATATGAATGAAATTATTATTCAAAGTAACAATACTGAACAAATTGCATTATGTAAGACACAAGTTCTCATTATTTATAATCTAAAAAACTGATTATAGCCTTTTAAAAAATTATATTGAGAAATGATCATATACACAGAAATGTTTAAATGTGTGTGAAGCTCCCGATCAACATATTTACTCGTCACGGATTTTCATTATATAAAAAGTCTTTCAGGAAGACCATTGGATTACAGTTCTCTAAATGCTTTCTCTCAATACGATTATGTTAGTCTTTTAATGCAGGCTGAGTCTGGGCAGAACAGTAGGTCTACATGCAAACAATCATTTGCTGATATAAGCATACAATAAAAGGGGGTAAAGAGAAGAAATTGTTTGTTGTATCTGACATGTGCTTGAATAACAATGGAGAGATCTTACTGACATCTCACTCACCTATGCATGTTGTGGGGAGGAAGGAAGACAGGGTATGTGGGCAAATATGTATTTACTTTTACAATTTTATGACAGTAGAGCATGACTCATGTCAATAAGATTATGCTTTTATATAGTTTTAAACATGTGAAGATAAAGTACATCCTGTTAAAGACTTAAAAGCAAAATAATACAAATGAACTGTATAATGAAAGTGATTACAATTTAAAACATTAAAATGCTGCATTTCAGAATGAATTACTTTGGATTAATCATGTGGTATGATAGTCCATACTTGACCAAAGTTAAAGGATAGTTCAAAATACATTTTGCAGTTTTCTGAAAGGAGAAGAATGCTGATTTCTCAAGCTATTATATAGCTAGATCAGAAGACTGGGCATGGCTTTGATATATAATCTATCTGCTGAACAAGTAAAATATATCAAGGAGTCTTGGAATTATGCCAGTGCTGAGCCCTACATATCCAAAAAAGAGGCATTGTATCATTCTCCAGTCCACAATGTGGCATCTAAGATACAACATAACACGGATGATAACATTGCCTGAATCTATTTAACACTGAGTTAAGTTACATTATTTTTATATTATGTATACATACACTGCTCTGCTTAATATCTTCTAAAATGTAGGTATGATTTGTTGAAAAAATAAATGGAGCAATGACAGATTTACAAAGAGTAATGTGAGCTATGCTTACACCATGGTTCAGTTCTGTGTTATTTGGGCTCTGGGTTTTTTTTACCCTTCTTGTTTTGTTTTGTTTCTGACATGCATTATCAGATAACTTGCATTTTCAGTCTGAAATATTAAATTTGGGGGAGAGGATGTGTTACAAAAATAGTTTATTAATAGTCTAAATTTTGTATGTATGTATTGTATATACCCTTGCCTTTTCCTTTATATCAAGTAGTTTATTATCAGATGTAAAGGGTCTGATTCTTCTTTCACATTACAGTAAATCAGGAGCAAATCCATTGTGCTCAGTAGAGTGAAACTGGCAGTGTAAAACTGGCTTAAATTAAAGGAGATTCAGGCCTATAATGTTTATGTTGGTGTTGTTAGTTCTATCAGCTGCATAAAACATTTGCTTGACTAGCTTAAGGAGTCTTTTAGGGGATAGACACAAATCAGTACTCAGCAAAATACACAGCGTTAAGTCAGTTACATTTGTATTGTACCTAACACAGTTTACGATTTGGCTGTAAAATTTACTTGTGGCTAAAACCTGCTGCAGTATAAAACAGTTCAACCCAGAAGCAAAACAATAAAATAAAGCACATACACACACCCCTCTCCTCATTTATCTTAAAAAATTAGAGAGTAATTACAAATACAAGAAAAAAGACGGATTTATTTTAAGATATTTCAAACTATTTTCCCAAACAAAAATTAAATATTCAGAATAAATGTGTAGTAAATCTTAACTGTGAAAGTGAATATTCTGTATCATACTAGCACGATTGCAAGTTATATCTTTGTGAAAGGTTTTGAGGGTAAGTACTTGTCACTTTATGGAG